CCCCCCTTTTTTTTTTTAAAGGAGAATGTCAGTGAGTCTAGGCTTTTGAGTGTAGATGTGTCTGTGTGTGTGTTGGTCTCACAATATGTTCTTTTGTCATTTGATCTGTTGGTTAAGTTTTGAGTAGTAATTCTGCGTTGCACAGCATGCTTAGCCTTCTGGGGATTAGGTGCCATATAGATTCCAATTTTTGTTACTATGTTTATTGTTATTATTTATATTATTATTATTATTTTTACTACTATTGTTGTTGATATATTATTACTATTATTATGAACAAGTTTACTGAACTTCTCTCCTTTGAAACATCTATCTTCCTTATCTCTCCTCCTCCTTCTTTTTTGAGTTTTCACTCTCTTGTAATACCTCTAATCTTCAGTACTGATATGACCTAATTGTGTTGCAAGTGCAGTGAAACACTTACTATAACATTACTGGACTCTGGTGTGTGTTCCCAGATCATCTTCCTGACCACACTGTTCTACCTGTTGGCCTCCAGTGGAAACATGTACAAACCTGCCGAGGTCTTCTCCAACATGAGCCCGGGCTCCACTGGCAGCAGGCTGGGTCAAGCTTTCGAAGAAGCAATCAGGTACGTGGTAACTAACAAGCTTAACTCTCCTGATGTGTGCGATGAAGTATTGTTTTATTTTTCAGACTTTTTAGAGTTCAGTTTTCACTGCTGGCCTCCTATTTAAAAAAAAAAAATGATGTATTAACTCATTGCTGACGCCCTGTAAGAATATTCGTATCCAGGCAGCCACCAGACTACGAGAAAATCCGAATCCCTTTTTGTCTCTATAAAACTTTCACCAGTCCATTATTTCCAAGTTTAAAAAAAACTATTCATGAGTTACCATTCTTGTATTTCCGTATGCTTATTGTCCGCTAATTTTGTAACTGTTTGGAGGGAAAGTTATTGCAATTTTAGTGTGGGTACCTTAATTTTTTAGCGTTGCTGGAGGCTGCCCAGGTGGGTGTGTCTGCTCAGGGAGGCAACTCAGGTGGAAGTGGGTTAAACAAATTAAAAGATTGAAGTACTGACAACAGCGGATTAATCGACAGCCTCAACAAAGGTCATACAATATGTTTGTGCTGATTGTTGTTAGGTTACTCCTTCATGTCAGTCTTAAGATAATTACAAATATACCTTAATTAATGTGAATGAGCCGGTTGTGTGAACTAGATGTTACACTCATAAGAAAGCGAAAATAAATTTCTGCTTGTCAGAAAAATGTGTGAAAGATTTGTTTGTATGTATTTCCTCAGTGGTGTGTTCATGGCCTCATTGAAGATGGCTTTCTTCTACGGCTTGTATACCTGGCTCATCCACCTCATCTTTGGCCTGGATGTTGTGTTCATTCCATCAGGTAAAGCAACACTATTTCACTGGTGTTGGGCATAAACAGACCAAATCCAAGACTCTCCTATATTTCTTTAAAAGAATGTTTATACTTGTGTTTCCTTTGTTTCCTTCATTAGACCTTCAGCAAAGTATGCTAATATCTTGTTGGAGTCAACTCTTCATACCCCTATCATGCACTTGTATGAAACCTTGGTGACTAAATATTTAAGGTTGCTTTCTTTCTTCTTTTTTTTTTTCTTGATGACTTAATTTGCATGAACTTTTGCCCAACCCCTTTGATTTATTTTGTTTTTTGCAAGATGGTTCATTCTTTTAAAAAAAGTCTCGAATATTAGTCAGCATTTTTGTAGATGTCTTTTAGAACAATCCTTGCTCCCCTTTAGATGCTGAATATGTCATGCCTTTAAAAAAAGTATTGGAACACACTGTAACATAGATATTGTCAACTGTGTTTTTAGGGGATTTTGTTTTGTGTTTCATATAAAGGAGTCTTTGGTTTTGGTAAATCTCTCTTTGTGATTATCCACATTTGTTTGTCATTTTGTTTTCATTTTTGTTTTTTAAAATGTATTTGATTTTATCATCTGTCAGCTCTGGCGGCCCTGTTTGCTGCCATTCCCTTCCTTGGCCCGTACTGGGCTGCCATCCCCGCTGTCATCGAACTGTGGCTGGTTCAAGGTCAAGGTCTTAACGCACTGCTATTGTTCATTGCACACATGGTCCCATCCTACGTTGTGGACACGGCTATCTACAGTGAGATCAAAGGGTGAGTAGCTTTTCGTTGTACTTTCGCGACAAAATTTCTACATATGTGGTATGCCGGGGTCTCTGGATCTTTCCCATGAAACATCTACCGTCCTTATCTCTTCTTTTTTGTTTGTGTGTTACTTTGTAGTAACACCTCTTATCTTCAGCATGTATATCTTGAGCGAGGTTAATGTTTGTTGATTTTTTTTCTCTCCTATTTCTCAACTGTAAAGCGCAGAGAGCGTGGATATGCGCTATTAAATGCAGTTATTATTATTGTTATTGTTGTTATTATAATTATTATTTTTTAAAGTAATGTTGTTATTATTGTAAATATTATTACAATTTTAATTTTGATTATTTTTATTATCTGTCAGGGGCCACCCGTACGTCACTGGCTTGGCCATCGCGGGCGGGATGTACTGCATGGGCCTGGAGGGGGCTATCATCGGCCCCATCATCCTGTGCTGTCTCATCGTGGTGGTGAATATGTACAGCGGACTGCTGCGTAACGAACCCAGCACTCCCACTCCGGGTGAGTCAAGTGCATACGCGTACGCACACACGTACCCATGCACACACAGACACGCGAACACACACACACATACACAGACATAAGTACACTCTCGTATTTAGACACACACGCACATTCACACGCACGCACGCACACACACACACACACACACACACACACACACACACACACACACACAGACAGACATAAGTACTCTCACATATTCAGACACGCACGCTTACACATTAACATACACACACACACACACACACAAACACATATACACACACATAAACAAACACACACACCAAACACACACATATACACATACCCACACACATGAACACGAAAACATATTCAAAACACACAATTATAATTGACACTCATAAAAGCGCACAAACTCATGCAAACCCACTCATCTCATCATATAGTCTTATCTATCTTTCTTATACAAATGCACCCACATGTGGTTTTTTTCTATATTCTTCTTCTTCTATATTATTGGGTTTTTTCTATATCAGTTGTCCACCTTTGTAAGACGACCAGTGTTCCCCCTGACAATGGATGGCCACCTTGGAAAGTTTTGACTGTATTTGTAATTGCTAATCTATGAGTGCATTTTTGTAGTCATGATTTTAGCAATATTGTGAGGGAGGAGGGGCCCTTTTTTGCAGTTTTCGTTTTCATTATGTTTGTTCATTTGTAAACAAGTAATAAGACTGTGTCAGATTTGTTTAAAGCGTTCTTTCTTTATGTTTATTTATTTGTGAACACACAATAAGACTGTCAGATTTTTCTCTGTTTTGTTTATGTCAGCTTGTTTGGTTTTTAGAACAAATAGTAAGGTAATGTTGGATAATAACTATATCCTGTGTGTGGGTGGTTCGCAGGTACTCTGGTGTGGTTTGCTCCTTCTTTCCTATCAAACATCTATCTTCCTTTTTTTCTCCTCCTTTTTTGTGTATGTTACTCTCTTGTAACACCTCTGATCGTTTGCACTTATATGACCTTATTGTGTTACAAGTGCTGTAAAACTCTAACTAAAACTAAAATAAGATGATGTTGGATAATAACATCATCCTGTGTTGCTTTGCCATTAGGGACAAAGTCCAAACCTAAGGCGGGTAGGTACATGGTTGTTACTGCGAGGAGTTTCTAACTTTTCCTGCCCTCTTTAATCGCATGACGTATTTTAACGGAGTATTATTCTATATAACTTTTTACATTAGGTGCTTCAAGCTTTGACCTCAATCTATGAGTGTGGAGTGGCAGCATGGGAAGTTCTCAAATTTGTATGACTCGAGTGTCAATGCAATTTTTTTTTCGTGGAATTGTGACTCTTTCACTTCCATCTCTTCTCCCTTCGTCCAGTTTTAGTCAAAGGATTTTTTTTTTAAAATTTTTTAAACAGCAACCAGCATAAATGTCTATTTCTCTTTCTCTTGTTGCAATTTGTTGCCTCTGACATTCATAATGAGAGTAGTTGGATTGTGCCACTGGTAGATTTTACATCTTTTTCCTCTCCTACTTTGTGTCTGTCTGTCTGTTCTACTTTTTGTGGACATTATTTGTCTGCTATTGCATCACTGTGCTTTTCTTTACTCAAATGAACTTTCATAATCTTGTGATGGGCAGAGCAAGTGCCTTATAGCAGTCGGATGGTTTCGCACCTCTTGGAATGTTATGTGAAGTTTGACAGTCTATGGTGGACATATACAGTGGAATATTATGTTTCATGACAATGCGAATTGTGAAAAGATGAGCCTTTCCACAGCAATGACAATATTGTAAATAGTTTTTGTAGTGCCTAATTGCATTTGTGTCCTCACAAAGTTAGCGGCCTGGCTCTAGATACTCTGCTCTGTAAGTTTCTGCTGTTTCTTCTCTGTTTGTCCATGGTGTCATTTGGTTGTGCAGTTTTGTGGATTTTAAAGCACTCGTGCATTATGGGGCATGGCATCTGTTTGACAGCTCTGCCCAGACATTGGATTTTTTGTCAGCAAACTACTTCATCCATAATGTTTTAACTTTAACCACAAAAACATGTTTCAGCTTCCAATATATGGGTATAATCTTGTTTTTTAACACTTTGAGCCCTGGCTCCCTTAGCCTCCTAGGCCCAAGGCCCTTGCACCTGAGCTCCTCTATGTCAACTGCTAGATTTACAACTCTGTACACTGAGTTTGGTGTTTTGTGTGCACATGGGTAAAGGTAGTACAAGCTCAGCATGCACTCAGGTCAGAAGAGTTCATGAACATTTGCGGGGCAGCCTGCATGAATTGAATTCGCCCTGATCTTTGGTGAATTCTTTTTTTTTTTTTTTTACTGTAGAAGATTTTTATTTTATTACAGCTCCTCATTGCACAGAATGCTTCTAAGTTATATAGGGTGATCTGCTAAGGGTTGTTGGTGTTTGAACAACTGTTACCTAACTTTTTTCAATGTTACTATTGCTGCTTGTGTTTGATGAAATACAGCAGTTACTTTTGGCTTCTGTTTTGTAGTGGGTAGGATGCAAGGATCATCCCTTTTGCCCGAAGTCTACGCGAATGTGATTGTAATCGCAGATGGTTGGAGGGTGCCACTGCTCGTAGGTCCAGCTTCTTTACTTTCTCTCTCTGTTGTTTCTGTCTGTCTGTCTTACTTTTTCCCAGTGCTAAATAGCCTTTATTGTGTCGATGTGCTTCTCTTTACTCAAACAAAAAATCAAGTGATTCTCGTGTGGGGAAGTTTGTTTTTTTATTGAATGTCTCCATCTGTTTTCTGGGGTACTGTGTCTGACTCGGCCCAGGTTGATCCTGGCAGACAGAGTTGAAGCAGCCTGCCTCCTAGTGATCTACATCGTGTTGTTGTTAGGGAAAGACAGTTACCGTCAGCGGCAGTCAATGTGATGTTGAAGTGTATTCTGGGTCTCGCTCTGTTGTTTCGCCTTTTGTTTGATGGAGATATTTGTTGGGGTTTTTTTTTTTATACAATGGGATGGACAGGGAGGTTGCTAGAGTGTCCTCTTCAGGGTTAATGGATGTCCAGCTCAGAACTCAAAGTGCTTCGATATTGGATTCGGGGATTTGAGCCTCAGCTGTATCCTTTGCTGTGTCCTCGGGAAAGGCACTTTTTACTAATTTTCTATTTGGGTTGGGGTTTTTTCGGAGATGTATGTTAAAACTTGGAGGTCCTGCCTCTTTAATAGTCTAATGATGTCGATAGTGGTGTTAAAACTTTACCATTATCACATTACCAACACTGTATGGTTTGTTTGTGTGTGTGTTGGAGAGGGGGGGGGGGGCATTCACTCAGTGTCATGCCGGTCTACAGTGTGGGTGCTTCTTGGTTAATATCCTCGATAGAGCATTTCTGTACTTGATTAGTTTGGGGACCTTTTAAAAGCTCTTTCGTTTCCTTCTCTTGTTTGTTTCTTTTTTTTTTCTGTGCTGTAAATGGCCTTAATCATGTTAATGTACTTCTCTTTAGTCTATCAAATATTCCAACTAAAATGTTTTTATCATACCGATATATGCTTCTCTTTACCCGAAAACAAATTCATTCCTGTTACGTTTTCGTTTCCCCCGTTCTGAGAGCGTAACCATCATTTATCCCTCGTTTAGTTTGCTTCACGCCGTGTTTGAATCATTTCAGTGATGTGGACTCCCAGACTGAGGTGCAAGGTTCACTCTTTCCGTTGGTTTCATTTTCCACCTTTGTTTTTTTATTCTTTTTCTTTTCTTCGACAGCCATTTGGAACAAGCGATTGAGGTTGCAGTTTCTCTTCCATTCTCCTTTTTACCTTGTATTGTGAGAAATCTGAGCACGTTTACATTGGGTGGCTTGAAATACTCATATTAACTGAGGAAAAATTAGTGGTTTTTATTTTAACTCTGACACGAGTGAGTAACTTGTAGCTGACCAATTGATTCACTTCGTTCTTCCCGCTCTATCAGTTAACCAACTGTTGTCAGTACTTTAATAATTCTACCTCTGTTTGGTAGTTACAGCTCCACTTAGTATTATATAGTATTAATTACCCCCCCCCCAAAAAAAAACACACACACAGAGACATCCACCATGATATGCCCCCCCCCCCCCCTCCTCAACACTTTTTAGGCAAAAGGAACACTTTTCAGCATAGCGAACAATTTTCAGCATTGTGATCTTCCTTAGAGCCGAGCAACGCAATTTGCCAGGAGTCAAATAGTTTTCTTCGTCACGCTTTACGATGTCTTCCAATGAAATAAACTGTTGAACATCCTAAGAATTAGGATTGACTTAAGTTAAGTCCATATAAAATCTGGAAGGAAATAAATGTTAAAGCAAGATACGACAACGGTTTGAATAATATTGGAACAAAAACAAAAATGTCATATTAGTGGTGTAAAAAATTCTTCAGCAGTTCAGAGACAAAATGCAATATCTTGTAATTCTGAAAAGATGATTTTTGTAAGGGATTGTTGCAGAAAGAGGGACAATTTTTGTTTTTAATTTCCCATTTTAGGATAGGGAGGCATTCTCGATCATCATTCCCCCCCCCCCTTTCTCCAAACCACCCCAATTTCTATTGTAGACTTGTTTGGATTACTCACAGTACTTTCTGTATTCACTTGAGTAGGTTTTTTCGGTTTCTTCTTGCCCTACTTCTTGGCTACCAGGTTTTGTGGGACTTTGCAGCATTTTTGTTTGGTAGAGGGTGCTATTGTTGTCTGTTATTTGCATATTCATAGTTTGTCTCTGGTTTCAGACTGTGTGTGAAATGTCATGTGCACTTTTTGATAACTTGTTCTCCCCAGGCGGCTACAGCAGACAGTTGGTTCTTTCTCTCTCTCTCTCTCTCTCTCTCTGTCTCTCTCTCAGTCTCTCTCTCTCTCTGTCTCTCTCTCTCTCCTTTTCTCTCCCCTTTTCTCTCCCCCCTATCTTCCTATCTCTCTTTATCTATCAGTCCTATTCTCTATCTTTCTGTCTTTCTCTCTCTCTTTCTCTCTCTCTTTCTCTCTTTCTCTCTCTCTCTCTCTTTCTCTCTCTCTCTCTCTCTCTCTCTCTCTCTCTCATTCTCTCTATCTCTTTCTCTCTCTCCCTCTCTCTCCCTGTCTCCCTCCCTCTCTCTCTCTCTCTCTCTCTCTCTCTCTCTCTCTCTCTCTCGCTCTCTCTCTCTCTTCTCTCTCTCCCTGTCTCCCTCTCTCTCCCTGTCTCTCTCATATTTGTCATCCCTCCCTCCCCAAACCTGACCAGCACAGGAGAGCATCATCCTCTTTCCCTCCCATCATTTGTTTCGTTGTCTCACTCCTCAGCGAGGACTAACTTTAGTCTTCTGTCTTTAATGGCTGGCCCGCAGAGGAGGGACACGTTTAAGACATCACGGTGAAGTTTCCCCCCACCCCCACCCCCGATTCTCTTTCCTGTTTACCCATCTACTCTTCACAAAGAGAATAAGAGCCATGTGTTGTCCGTTTAAGATAAACTCTCAAACATCATTTACGTTCAGTGTGTTCTTTAATTAATAAACTGCTTTCTTTCTTCTTTTTTTTTTCCAAAAGAAAAAAATTGCAATGCTAGATCTACTGGCGGATTTAGAAAAACAGTTTATTATACCTATACTATAGATAAAGTTCACAGAGATCTTTGATTACGGTTTAAATATAACTGCATGGCGCAAATGAACTCCCTTTTTCGAGCTGGTGTGGGGCTTGATTTGCTGGGAAGTAGATTTTGTTTCCAGGTAGTAAATTTGTTCAGCAAATATTGGTGGACACCGTGTGCTTTACTTTCCACTGACACTGTTTGGATCATTTAGGAGGTGGGCTGTGCCTCAACAATCATTTCCTTTCAACAAAACTTATGATGAGGTACACAGTGGCATATCAAGTCAGATGCGATAATATCATATTCTAAGATAATCGTTAAGAAGTTTGATGTGTATTAATTAAGGAGCTTGATAAGTATGTGCATGTTTGGCTCAATAGATGATGAAATTATGAATGAGTCTACATTCAAATGGAGTTCTTTAAACTTTTCTCTGTCGACTTAGTGACCTGATAGGGAATCTAGTGCTGTGCCCCCAAAATAACATGTTCATGTCTAGAAGGGCGATATACGTACTCAGAAAGTGAAAATGAATGGAAAGAGTTTATTTTAAGTGGATTTCACTGTCCATGGAGCCTTGACGTGTCTTTCTATAGTTTCTCTTCCTGCCCACCCAACATACCATGCCTCTGTTTTTGTATCATTTTCATCGTGTTTTTCTGTCATGTGCTTCCTGCTTCATATACATAAATTGTATTCCAAACCTTCACCCTGTATATTATGTGTTCTGCCTTAATTTGAATGGATGTTGCTTCTGGAAAAAGTATAGTGGGTGGTTAGCGGGTGCTCTGATGTGGATTACTCCTTTCCTTTCAAACTTCTATCATTCTTTCAATGGCAGATTTCTCGAATTCTACTCAAACTAGATGGGGTTTCTGTTTCATCTAAAGAAAGTCAAATGAACAAGCTTTAAGATGATGCTAATCGCTTCATTTGCCCAAAAATTGATGAGTGCCTGATTCCACCATGTCAGGACACAAATGTCTCTTCAAAAGGTTAGGTGACTACCACTCTACCACATACCACATCATATTTCTTTGAAAAGTCATTATTAAAAGTGAACGTGAGAAATTGTACATTACTCATAATTATTCTGCTTTTCACATGCTGCCGTAAGCTGACAAAGTGCCTTTTTAAAATTCACAGCAGTTTCAAGATAAAGAGGCTTTTTTTTACTGTAATCATTTAAAAAAGGCGCTCTTCCGAAATTTGAATTCTAAGTTATTCAAAAATAATTACAGTTTCACTTAATTTTTTTCACACTAGTAGGGTAACTGATCAGGCTTTTGCAAATAAAAAAATTTAATGCCAAAAATGAAAATGGGTATTTTGTCATCTTACGGCAGTGTATGGTATCATGTAGTTTGCTTGGCAAATTTCATATTGCTCTACAAAAGTTCTTTTCTCTGTACTCAGTGTCTCTGCTAGCATGTTAAAGTGGACATATATACGGTCTCTTTAGTGTCTATTATTTACTGTTTTCAGAGGCTTGACTGTACAATCTGTAGCTCTGCATTTCGTGGCAGTTTTGAGAATCATGCACTACACTGTGTACAAAGCACTGACCAGCTGTAGTTAAGTGGGAATATTTTGCGCCTGCAACAGCAGATCTTATATCATTTAGGAGGTGGGCTGCTTACACCCTGCCTGTTTGGGCCAACCTGAAAGGTGGGGGGGGGGGGGGGGGGGGTACAGCATTTCAGCAGATTAAAGGAAATGCTCAATAAAATAATGTTCTACACATTGAAGTAGCTCACTTCCTGAATTATTTGAAATGTTTCACAGGGAGGGTAGAACATTTACCATCGTTTACAGTCAAATCCTCCTTTACAGAGAGGTTGGCAAAAATTTCTCCTTTTCCCCAACTCTCAAACCCCCCCCCCCCCCCCTCCAAATCCTTACATAAACATACTCATGCACACACACATGCACGCACAGGCACACCTGCAACTTGGATGAATAAATGTTGTTAAAACCAAACGGTTTGCCTCCATGTCATCATATTCTCAGTTATGTGTGCTGTTCTCTCCTGTAGAGTAATTGATTATGATGTTCTGGAGATCTTCCAGAGAGTTCCTCTCCATTTTACTTCTCCTGCGTATTTGGTACACCAGCATCTGTGGTGTAACATGTAGGATTTTCACTATTGCCCTCTGACGTTTCAAGTTCGATTCCTGAGTATGGAAGTTATTCTTTTGAGTATTTTTGTCAGTTTGCTTGGATGCTCGATATCCAACTCAGCATTGGTTCGCCTTGACAGGCAGGGTTGAAACAAACTTCTTTTCTGTTGATAGAAATTGTGTCAGTATTCAGTGTACAAATGTAGAATAAATTGGATAAGTATAAATAATATTAATGTGTCTCACTCTCCTTGGTCCTTCACTTGCGATAATCACTGTATTTTTCATTATTTAGTTCTTCTATTCTTAGTTACAAAGTGTAATGGAAAAAAATACCGAATTCCGTATACCAGTTCTGGTAAGACTCCTTATCTGTGTAATTTGCCCGATCTCTTGATAACAAACATTTTATAGATGTAAAGAAATATAATTTTTTAACATCTTTTTACGATAACTTTTTTTGGGGGAAAAGTTTGTTTTCTCAGATGTTTTCATTGTCTTTATCTATGTCATGTCAGTATCCTTTTTTACTCAACTAGATTGTTCCTCAATCTGCTTTTCTTTTTATTTCTTTACTAAAATAGTCATCTGAAACAGTATATAGAGTCTAGTATATGTTCATTACTAATTTGGACATTACTGCAGACAGCTTTCATGGGAGTTACTTTTAACATATTCGTCTTCCATAAGGTGACAGAAGGTTATGAAGGATAACATTTTAATGTTTTCACTGCTTTGTTTCTGGTGTTTCGTTGGCTCTAATATAAAAAAGGATTTTTCCAATAATAATGTAATACATCACCCACATATAAAATAATGATTGTAGCTTTAACGCTAACAATATCATAAGTCATCCTTGTTCTTTAGGCTTATCCCCCCCCCCCCCCCCCTTTCTCCCGCACATATTACATATTACATCTAATGTAACGGATGTGTGGATTTTGCTATCACTTTCAGTAGAAGCCCAAACTTTTTGCCTCCCACAATTTCTTGGATTTTCTTACAGTTATGAGATATTCAGATTATTTTCCATGACATAGCCAGCTTGGTCATTAGTGTCATGTGACGTACTTCATTTTGA